TTACGAGAATGACTGAGAATGTCATGTTACATATTATTTCATGTTCAACGTCGGCTGAAATGTGGAAGAAATTGCAAAGTATTTATGAACAGAAAACGGAAACAAATATCCATATAATCCAACAACGTTTCTTCCAATTTAAGTATGAAACGGGCACAGAAATGTCTACATTCCTATCTAAAATTCAGGAGATGCAAAATCAGCTCAAACAGATGGGTGAAGAAGTATCGGACAAGTTTGTAATCACAAAAATATTAATGTCTTTGCCAGAGGAATATAAATTTTTCATTTCGGCTTGGGAGTCTGCGCCAGATGATAAACAAACTATAGATAACTTAATGGCAAGATTACTGATTGAAGAGGAAAGAGTGAAAGAAAAGGGTGAGAATTGTCAACCAACTCCGAGTTCATCTGCATTTGTTGTGAAAAACAAGAAGGAAATAAAGTGCTTCAATTGTAATAAAATGGGACATATCCGTAGTGAGTGTAAAAGTAAGAACTATAGTAATTCTGAAGGTCAAAGCAATAAGTGTTTTTATTGTGGAAAGTTTGGACATAGTAAGGCAAAGTGTTGGTTTAGGAAGAACAAGGAACATAAGAAAAGTAATGCTTTTGTGGTGTTAAATTCATCAGAACAACGAGAAAAATCTCTGTGGTTAGTGGACTCTGGAGCCAGTGAACACATGTGTAATGATCGTTCTTTGTTTTCATCATTTACAAAAACAACGAACGAGTCCGTAATTGTCGGTAATGGTGCCACGATTAGTGTTCTTGGCTACGGACAGATGGCGGTGGAAGTCTTCGACGGCAAAGAGTGGATTGAAACGTCCATAGACAAGGTTTTGTTTGTACCAGAGCTAAAGACGAATCTATTCTCTGTGAACAAAGCGTCAGACAGAGGATACGTCATAATGACAGATGACACTTCATGTCAATTCTTTAAAAACAACAATGTTTGCGCGGTTGCAAAACGTGTTGGAAGTTCGTATTTTTTGGAGTTTCGGTACAAAAACATAGTGGCTAGTGTAGCTAAAACAGTAAACAATACATTGCAAATGTGGCATGAAAGATTAGCACATCAGAACTTTGATTATGTAAAAAGGGTGCTCTCGAAAAACAATATTGATGTGGATCAAACTTCAACTCCAAAATGTGAAAGTTGTTTGGAAGGAAAGATCCATCGAGCATCGTTCAATAACAGTGAAAGTATTAGCACTAAAACGTGCGAGTTAATCCATGCGGATACCTGTGGCCCCATGGAGGTAACGTCGGTTGGTGGCTCGCGTTACTTCGTGCTACTGAAAGATGACTTCTCAAACTATAGGTCAATTTATTTCGTCAAAAATAAATACGAGATAAAGAATGTTATTGAAGATTTCTTATGCAAAGCAGAAAACTTGACTGGAAATAAAATCAAAGTTTTTAGATCGGATAATGGTCTGGAATTTATAAATAAGGAAGTCAAGGAAATACTGTCGAAACGTGGGATCGTACATCAGACTAGTGTCCCTTACACTCCCGAACAAAATGGGAAAGCCGAAAGGGAAAATCGGACACTTGTAGAAGCTGCTAGAACAATGTTGAGTGCATGTAAGACATTGCCAAAGACCTTGTGGGCTGAAGCCATAAATACTGCAGCATATGTCCTAAATAGAACAGGAAAAAGTAAAGATGGTCAAAAAACACCATATGAGGCATGGTGTGGAAGAGAGTTTGACATACAACAGTTGAAACCATTTGGTACCCCAGTATATTCTCATATACCAAAAGAAAAACGAAGGAAATGGGATAGTAAGGGAGAAAAGGGAGTTATGGTTGGATACGGCGAGACAGTCAAAGGATATAGAATATTTTACTCTAACAGGAACAAAGTGGAAATAAAAAGAGATGTAGTTTTCTTGGAAAAGGAGCAATGTTATGGGAATGAACATGAGGTAAAGATTAACTACAAAGATAATAATGAAGAAGATAACAGAAAATCAAGTGAATCTCATAATGAATCAACAACAGAATTGTCAAAACTCAATGAAACAGTGACTTCAGCTGAAAGTGGTAAGTCAGGAAGTGAATATGTACCGTCCTGTGATGAGGATGATACAGAAATACCTGTAAGGCAATATTCCAAACGTGTGAGGAAACCAACTGTGTTTTATAACTGCCAGAATGTGCGTTCTGGGGAAAGTGAACCTACCACCTATAAAGAGGCTATGGCAAGAAATGACGCCAGCAAATGGAATGAAGCTATCAACAGAGAGATGCAAACATTGCGAGAAAATAACACTTGGGAAGACTGCGACATACCAAAGGGTGTAAAAGTTGTAAGTAGTAAATGGGTATTTAAAATTAAAAGAAATAATAATTGTAACATTCCACAGTACAAAGCTAGGTTAGTAGCTAGAGGTTTCGAACAGGAAGATAACTTAGACTTAAATGACATTTATGCCCCAGTTGCAAAATTATCAACTCTCAGACTTTTTGTAACAATTGCAACTAAACTTAATCTAACTATTTTTCAAATGGATGTAACTGGAGCATTCTTGTATGGGGAACTAAAAGAAAATGTTTATATTAGCTTACCTGAAGGAGCTTACTTAGGTGATAATAGAGTAGTAAAGTTAAATAAATCATTGTACGGGCTCAAAGTTTCTCCAAAATGTTGGAATGTAAAATTTAGTTCTGTTATGTTTAAAGAAGGTTTTGTTAAATCTGATTGTGATTCTTGCTTGTATGTAAAGCGCAATGATAATGACCAGACTTATGTGTTACTGTATGTTGATGATCTCTTGGTGTTTGGAACAAGTAATATTGTAATAGAGCAATTGAAAAGTGTTTTATGTACAGAATTTAAAATGAAGGACTTAGGTGTAGTAACAGATTTTTTGGGTATAAATATAAAACAAAATGTTGAGAAGGGTGTTACTGAACTGAGCCAGAGAACATATTTGGAAAATGTACTGAAAAAGTTTCAAATGGAAAATTGTAAACCTATTTCTACACCATTAGATCAAAATTTTAATGGAAAAATATTTGAAAATAATAATAGTAATGTTGATAAAAGTACTGAAAAGTTATGTCGAAAAATTATAGGGAGTCTTATGTATGCAGTATCTGGTACTCGACCAGATCTCTGTTTCACTGTTTCTTTATTAAGTAGATACCAAAAATATGCAAATAGTATGTTGTTAGCAGCATTAAAAAGGGTGTTGCGTTATATTAAGTATACTTTAGATTATAAGTTAGTGTACAAATGTGAAGGTGATATCTTGGAGGGATATTGTGATGCTGACTGGGCAGGGGACCTCACGGATAGAAAGTCAACATCTGGATATCTATTTAAATTTTCTAATTGCCTAATTTCATGGTGCTCTAAGAAACAGGTGTCAATAAGCCTGTCATCAACAGAAGCTGAATATGTTGCTATAAGTGTTGCCGCTAGTGAGGCTTGTTGGGTAATTAATTTGTTAAAGATTTTGGGATTAATAGTGTGTGCCCAGTGGGCATTCATTGTGATAATCAGTCTGCAATTTCTGTTGCTTGCACATGTACTGTTAAGCGTCTAAAGCATATCGATGTAAGGTATCATTTTGTAAGAGAACTTATTAAGAATGGCACATTGTGTTTGAAATATGTTAAAACTAGTGAACAGCCTGCAGATATGCTTACCAAAGGCTTGAACAGGGAGTTGCTAACTCGTTGCTTGGAGAAATGCAGTGTGAGTTCTTATTAAGTTAATATTTGTCATTTAATTACATTGAGAAGGGGTATTAATATATGGCAATGTAATTAAATATAGTATTTTATAATAAGAAAAATATGGCAACCCTGCTTATGTCGCTCCTCCTCTATGATTGTAGGACGCTTGTTAGAAGGTTTTTGTTTTGAGTTCCATTTTGATTATTAAAACACATTTTCAGTATATAAAACTGTGTTCTTTATTAAAATCACATTTTACGTATATAAAACTGTGTTCTTTATTAAAAACTGAAAAAAAAAAAACAATTTTCTACTTTTTCGTAGGATTTCATCATCATAATTTTTACACAACATTGCTTTCTCTGTTTAGGCTTTAGCTATAAAAAGGTTTACAGCGGAAGGCGACGAACAAATTCCTAAAGGACGAACTTTGAGTATTTTGATGGTAATCCTCTTTAGGCCCTCGTACTTTATACCTACTCAGATAAATGACAGTGCTACAATAAATGGATTTCCCAGAAAAAAGGTACCTTATACTCGAGTCCAATAACATTATTTTGTAAAGAATTTAAGGTAAAAGAGGTTGTATATAGTATGAGAATGAAATAACGGTTTATTTATTCACATTGACTGCACGGTTGGGCAACTGGCGGCCGTGCAAGCGCGGGTTCGATTCCCGAACGGAACAATTCTTTGTGTGATCCACAAATTGTTGTTTCAGGTCTGTGTTTATATGGGTATCAAGAGTGGGTATGTGATATTGTATGTTCCTAAACGCAACTACAACACAAGAAAATCCCTAGCGTGATACAAGCCTATAAAAAAATGTATTTTTATTAATAAATGGACATAGTGATTGATAGCCATCACTCAAATGAGAATCAAGTGCATAAAAATGTTAAGGAACCTGTAAACCTCAAGGAATAGTCACCATCTTTTTATCTACTCCTCTCTTTATAGTGGCAAGCATATCAACAAACTCAAATTGGATTCAATTTTATTATTGGATTTTCGACTTTACATCTAAACGGTGAAGTTGAAAATCGAATGAAGAAATTTGACAGAGAAGAGTAGGTTCACCTGCTGCCCACTGTACCCTTGGCGCCACTAATACTCAAGGCCAGTTACCTATCAAACGAGTTTCGGATAATAACAATGTAACTTAAAATACCCCGTATTTTATCCCCACACACCTATATTTAGATATACGGAAGAATAGTACACATTGACCACCGAATTTGTCCCAAAATTAGGAACAATATATTTTCACGATTAAACAATATAATTAAAAAGAAAAACAGCAATACCTGTCAAACGATATCCCGGTGAGAGTAAACACGCTGGCTGCTACCGTCACGTTCGCAATAAAATTGCTCAGTTGACAATACCGTACACCAAACACCCAATCACTGGAACAATAACATTAAATTAGTGAACTGGAAACATAGAAAATGGCGTCCAAGAAAATGTATTATTATGTTAGCATTTTCCCGCAACTTGGTGCCTTAAATTGTCTTGAAACGCTGTCCAATTTATCTTGCCTGTTCAGCGGTAAAGTTTCACATTCTGTAACATTAGTTAAGTTGGTGGAAGACGTAATAATTATGTCAACTCAGTTTCCACTACAATGTACTTTTTAATTCCTATAATGTACTTTTAAAATCCTATAATGTACTTTTAAAATCCTATAATGTACTTTTAAAATCCTATAATGTACTTTTAAAATCCTATAATGTACTTTTAAAATCTTTTTAATAAGTTCTTAAAATATACTAAATTAGCAAAGAGCTCGTCTTCACGTGGGAGACACTTTGGCATGAAAGCCTCGTAACGCAATTGTAACAACTGCGGTTTTAAGTGAGCCCATTTGTAGACTTAAACCGATGATTAAAGTTAGTAAATACCTAACATCTATTAAAGTAAGACTGCTTCGTTGGCCACACGGAGAAGGTTTGAGCATTAATCACCACGCTTGCTCATTGCCGATTGGTGATTTTAAACTAATCATTAAAAATAATAAGTCCAGGTTGCCTCACGATGTTTTCCTTCACCGTTTGTCTTTGGTGTCTAAATAATCTTAGAAAGTACTTATAACTCGGAAAAAGTCACGTTGGTACTTGCCGTAGGTAGGTTTCGAACTTGCCCCCATGCATATATATACTACACACATAACATAACAAGTACAAATGTTATATACAACCGTTTACTAACCTAAAACAAAACAATATGTCTATCATAATTATCTACATATTCTATTGCTTTCCTAGAAGACCTCATTACAAAGCTCCTTGTATCAACTCCTACTAATAAATACAGTCGTCTGACAACCTCATTACCTGGTAACATAGATACAATATATAATAATAGATCTGTAGTAACTAGAGTCTAGACGATTCATATTCATGCTTCAATTTATTTGATACACAATTGTCATGACAAAAACAAAGTCAAATCGTTTATTACAATTAGACCTGTCTTACTTTTCAATGTAAACAAACAATAATTTTAAAAATGATCCTGGTGTTACATTGTTTCGTAATTTTTGGAGGTGAGGCAGTGAAGTTAATTGTAAGAAAGCCATGCTTCGGCTCGATCGGAGTGATACCACGGCCTCACAGAAAACCGACGTAAAACAACGCTTGCGTTGTGTTTCGTCGTGTGAGTGAGGTTACCCGAGGCCCAATTACCCCCAAATCTCAACCCTCCCTCCAATCTCCAATGCCTGAATCCCTAAAAATCCTCAAACTCCTAATCTAAAAAGCCGGTAACATACTCGTAACGCGAGTGTCTGTGGGCGACGCCGATTTCTTATCAGGTGATCCGTCTGCTCGTTTACCGGCTTATCCCATAAAAAAAGAAGGTGCAAATTAAGCAGAGTTATACAAAGACATATTTGTTATATGTTTGATGTTTCTAGTAGACTTATAATATAATGAACGCTTACTGACAGGCAAGTCACAAACTTGCCTGTCACAACCAATAATAGTAAAAAATATTAGCTGTATAAATACTGTAACAACCAAACATAAAAATATTAATTTTAGGGGCTGATATAACATTGACTCCATAATATTAATAATTTACCAAACGTTATGGAAATGATAACCACAAACTACCTCTATTGTGTCTTCTAATGTACACGGAATAGTTCCATCAACTGGCAAATCCGATTGCATTAGCAAAACATGAACATCGCATTATCTCATAGTATATTTCAGTTGCATTATTCAATATTCCCTAGATATCAGCTTAAATTACCGAAAACCTCTGCATTAAGCTTGTGGTCTTTACTTTCGAATAAACATAATTAAATAATGTAAATATTCATCCGATTACAGATGGTTTGTTAAATTTAAATTGGTTTACTGGTTATGTGTGTAAAAACAGAAGGGAAAATAAATAAAATGGATAATTGGGATGACGACAGGGTATGAAAATTAAAAATCGAATTAGTCCGTAAGTTAGGTAATTAAAAAATATTAGACACGTATTTTTTAATTTTGTCGTATAATAAAACAATACTTAGATAAAACGAATCAAAGTTTAGGAGTGGGGGCTAAAACGTCATTTCTACGCATAAAATGTCTGTAAAAGTGACGTCACGCGACATTTCAAATCAATATATAGTCGAAAGTATTCGTTTCTGTAAAAAAATAAAAAAATACGTGTCTAATGATTTAAAATAATCTACCAGACAGACATTAAAATAAAAATAAGGCATCTACCCTATTACCTAGATACACTTATGGATGTGTTACTCTATAACAATACTGTATTGTAATTGTATATACATATATACGCGTGATTAAATAAACTAAAATGTACCTACTAACCTGTTCTATAGATGTGACATAGAACTGACTAATGAAACTGATAGACAAAAAGATGAACTGCTGTTGAAAGTGGAGTTTCATAACTAATTAACCTTATCTTTTTTTGATGACGGGGAAAACCTTCATAAGGCGCCTAGCTTTTTGGGGATAAAAGATTAGGGGAGAGTGGGATTTTTACCTCACCAAAACCACCCGGTGGCCACCCTCAACACCTATATGAAATTAACCTATGAAGTTGCTTGCTCGGTCTTCTTCATAGGAATCTATACCTAGGAATGAGCAAATAGCTTCACTTAATTTTTTTTTGTTGACGTTCAAAAGTGGTCTACTGGTCTAATTGAAATAAATAATTTTGACTTTGCCTTTGAAGTCTACTCATTTGGTAAAATGGTATGAAGTTATATTTATATATTGGGATTATTCCCAATAATAATAATCATCGCTTCCGACTAGGCGAAACAGTGGTCAAACGATACATTTCCAATATAAAAAACTCGCAATGGCTGACCGTAAAGGTACGTGTCTTTACTTACTTTTTTATGGGAATGGGAGGCAGTCTCAATTGCCTCATATCTTTCCCATAAAAAAGGGTACCGTATATTACCTACAAAATAGGGAATGGCGATGAGGACTAACTTTGGTCGATGTTTTCCACAAGAGTTATGAAGTTTCTGGTATTTTCTCTATACATCGAAGAGAATGTCGATATCAGGAATCATACGAAGATTAATGACAGTCGTTACTTGTTGTTAGGCGATCGAAATAAGAACAGGTCCAATTCAAGATATGTAAACCTAATCGATAGAATTTACAAATGAAAATATCCTCACTCAACTGAGTTAGATTGTGTAAATTGTGAATCAAATGTCGAAGAATTTATTTCTCATTTCGATTTTGACATGACTGACTGACTCTTTAACTTTTTTCAAAAGCACCAATCATGTGCATTTGCATGTGATGACCGATTCAAGGTACTTTTAATTTGGCTCTTTTTGAATTCTTCGTCTATTTGGTAGCCATACGTGCTCAAGAACCAGTCACCGAAGTGACCTTTACTGCATACTCAAATGCCTCGCCCAAAAATTTTCTGCAGTCTATAATTTGACCAAAGAATTGGAATATTGATATACATTTTTATTTCAATTCACACGATTTTTTTTTAATCACTTGTATTAAAACGTTATAGAATTAAAAAGGACTACTTTTTTAATATTTTTTAAGAAAAATCAGACTTTTTGTTTTATCATTTAGTTGGATTTTCTCTAACAAAATCCACAATGGATTCTAATGATCCTACCATTAGTGATAGATAACACAACTTTGACAGAACTGTGTGGCATTAATGCTTTAATTCAACGTCTCATTATTTTACTTCATCAATCATTTTCTGTCTTTGTTACTATACAGAGACAAATTACAATCGTAATATTTTTTTCATTTTCTAAAGCAATATAATAAATCTGAGGAATTATTTGTTTGTTTGTTTGAAGAGGCTAATCTCTGATCCTGTTAATTGGATTTGAAAAATCCTTTTGTAGTCCATTTTTGTGTAGAGTTTTTTATATATATTGGGTGCAAAATTATGCCTTTTAATCCTTGAAAAGGGTTGGTTTGGTATAAGACATGTCTAATAATTATCGTTAGATTACAGTTTCATGTATCTGCTATGTATTCGCGCCTTCTCTAACTAAACTTTTATCTTGAATAGGGATGTATTCTAAATTTAATTTCCGTCGGTATTTGCAGTTGTATTAATTTAAACTGTCAAACATCGCGAGGACACCGGTGTCCACACACAATTGTTCTTTAATTGTGTCTATAATGACGGTACTACAAAGGGTTAAAAAAACATACACATATTTTTTATCTTCCAAGACATCTCAATACTTTCGATGACGTATTGATTTGCAATATCACGTGACGTCTATAAGGATAACAACTAGCACTTCCTCAACAGTTGCTTAAAACTTAGACCCTCTGATATCCAAACAAAACTCTAAGAGAGACAAACTTCAACAAAATTCTTACGATTTACTGAATACGACGTTCAAAATGTGCAGTCTCGGGTTACTTAACTCAAACTTACACGTTTAAGTTTCAAATAAGAGTCGTTCAAGCTGAATCTTCGAGATAAACTTGTACATGCAAGTATTTATGTACTTATAGTCGAGACGACTTGCTTTTTATGTTATATTTAGTTGATGAACTATACGGTTTTGAGCGTTCTAATGACTTCCGATAAATTATCTCTACGTAGGTACCTACATAACTGCAATGAACTTAGGTTCTTTATAAGTAAATCAAGTTCGTCGTAAATCAAATCTTAGTGGCCCGGAGGTTAAGACGCCCGCTTCTCATGCATGAGGGTGCGGGTACCAAAACTACCAACAGCAAGTACCATAGTGAATTTTTCCGAGTTATATGTACTTTCTAAGATTATTTAGACACCACTGACAAAGTAAACGGTGAAGGAAATCTGGACTTATAATTATTTTTCTAATTATAAGATTGATATCGCCAACCCGCAATGAGCAAGCGTGGTGATTAATGCTCAAACGTTCCCCATATGTGAGGAG